ATAAAACCTTTAGTCATAAATCAACTTAAATGTTAAAGACTAAACCAAGTCAATATTAACTTAGAAGCTGGTTTGCAACGCGTCTGGATTATTTGTTTAGTGTGTTTTGATAATGAAGTGCCCAGTGTGTAACAAAGAAGTTTACTTCGGTGAGTATTTTATAGTGGCTTTTTATTGAACAGCTGAACGCATTGAAACACTGGGTAAGGACTGGCATCGCAGCTGTTTAAAGTGTGGAAGATGTTACAGACCGATTACACCAGGTTATCATTGCAAGGTAGGTGTAATGCATGTTAGAACATTGCGAATAAAGGATAATTTGACAGATATGCTTACATTAACTCATATAATAGCACAGTTTTGTTACTATGCTATGAATATACATGGAGAAATTATATTCCATAAAACTCTAAAATTTGCTTAGAAAACATCAAATTTCATCACTTTTTTCTTATTTAGTTTCACAATTTTACACTAATTTTATCACGTTCCATTAGGATATCTTTTCCTCAATAAAATTATTTGTTGTCAAGTTCAACCGCTGTTGCATCTACCCATAGTTGTACGTATCTCAATGTATAATTCTGTGCTACGAACAATGTAAGTGACGATACATTCACATTGATACAGGGTCAAAATGACAGGGGATTCCAACGGGTATCATCTGTAATTCTACATGATAAATCCTAATCTCATTGTCACATTTTCGTCAAACACCATGACGATCAGTAGCTTCTCTGAGTTATTTTTTGAATCTGCTTTATTTTTTTATCTTGAAGTCAAAAGGTTACAATATGTGAAATGTAATGAAAATGTAGGTGAGATTATTGTTCACAAATTACTACACACCTCACTTCATGAAAATCTTCATTGGACCAGATATCTTTAAAATATAACTGTATTTAATCCTTACCTAAAAATGTTTGATTGGTCTACTAATAATACTGTTATCAAAAAGCCTGAAAGTTCATCTAGTATTTAGTTAACGCTCTGAAAAACTCTACAACACACTGGACTTTTATTACATAGTGTCACTTCAAAACAGCACGACCCCTACATTATGATAGATTTGATAATCATATCTAGAGAATGAGCACAGATCTACGTTAACACCTTGATTGGTCTCCCCACTAGTCTCTGCTGAATATCCAAGAAGATAGTTATCTCGATTTACTTTACGGCTTTGAAGCGACAGGCTACTTAGTACGATCTTGAGACTTTTAACGCGTGAGTTCAACTTGTGACTGAAAGACCTTTATAGTAGAGAGAAGAAACTATCCTACTACTGAAATTTGACCTGATTAATTGGTAAGCGATGGAGGTTGATTTAGCTGGAATATTTACTCGATTTGTTATTGATTTAACTACCGTAAGAAAGGTACATAAATATATAACTAACGAGACCTCAACACACAGGGAATGTGAAAAATACAATCACATCCAAACGAGGACACTACAGTAGAATGAATGGAATACAAGAATCATGTTTGAATGTTTTAATTTTGAAAGGTAAGACACAGTAATTTATATGTTATAAAAATACTTAAAATTTCCCGAATAAAGCAAGTACAAAACTAAATGTTAATATTGTACAGATTCCGAATTAGGTGAAAGTGTCCCAAAAAATCGCTTTCGTTGTTTATCCCTGCTTCTTTATTCATATCATAACATCAGTTTAGTAATATCTATTTATCATAATTTATATGAAGTCACATTTCACTAGCAACATAACCGAAACTAGTGGTAATCAGGGTCATAAGATAATATACCACACCACAAAATGTTTTTCTTAATGCAAACATCATTACATTTCAGCGTAATGGCCGAATTTATTGTTATAAACCTTGTTACATGACTCTGTATGGACCAAGAGGTGAGTAGTTGGTAGTTTGATAGCCTTCGTTTTCTAATAAAATCAATGTTCATTATCGACATTTATTAAAACAATTTACGTAGAAATTATTTGTTGGTTGTAAACTCGCCTATCGACCAATTCGTCGTAAATCCGAACTTCACCCTACCTATTTCAGCTTGGGTAGCTGATATATCAATAGTTCTGACATGTTACTCGAACCTGCGCGTAAATATCTATAATTGATAAATGACTTTCTACTAAAACAATATAAAAAAAGATCTGAAAAAAATATCTTAAATTATACCCTACTGAAAGCACTACTTAATCAATTTGTACCACGTAGGATTTCGTTAACAACATGAGTGATGATATACCAGAACAATGTCACTCGATATATTGTTGCTCCAGGTTGTAAACAATAGTACTTTGTTGTGATTTTATATTAGAGTGGAGATGATGCAATGAATTAATATACATGTTAGTGTATTTCTTAATGCACACCAGCATATACGGATATACGTGCATTAAAAAAACTATTGAAACCACAACTAACTCAACGCTTTAATTTACTTCACTGCTTACTCATTCGAAAGTTCGTCTAACTGTTTTTACTACTTGATGATCTATAAAACAAAATCTGATAGACGTGATTAATATGTACGGAAATAAGAAATCATGCTACTCGCGTGTATGAAATTCATAGGACAACACAGGATAAACGTCAGGTAAGATATGGAAAGTTTAGATAATTAATCTGTGAAATTTGTAAAATCTCCACAAAACCCATTCTGATAATAATCAACTGCTCACTAGTGACTGATTTCAGGAAAAACTCCCGAAGTTCTAGTGAGAAGCCGTTACCAGTGGAGTTCAACCAGGTCTGTTGTGAGATAGGAACTCACTGAAGACAATGGTGTACGGTGGCGCAACTTCGTGGATTGGTTGAAGTTAGACATTAACACCGTTGGATGCCGGCTCAGTGGTCTAGTGGTTAAGTGCTCGCGCGCGAAGCCAGTATGTCCTGGGTTCGAGCTCCGCGTGGTGCGGGATCGTGTATGCGCACTGCTGAGGAGTCCCATACTAGGACGAAACGGCCGTCCAGTGCTTCCAGGTTTTCAATGGTGGTCTAGCTTCAACTGACTCATGATTTCAATCTGTGATAATTAAAATGGCAAACAGAAGTAGCTGCCCTATAACATAATTACTGTATAAAATAATGCCGATTTCCATGAATTATATCTGCTCAAATAAAAAGAGTACTGCATAATATGTTTTCGTTTCTCTATTTCATTTTAAAAATAAACACCGATGTATATCACAATGAGAAAACCGAATCATGAAAACTGAGGTTGGTTTCTGTCTTCACAAAAGGAATAATAAAACGAGAAATTTCTATACACTTTTACTTATCATTTCCTTCAGGTTATGGTGCGGTTCCAAACACTGAAAATTACTCATAAGAGAATGAACATGGATGACGATTGGGATGAATTGTCATTATTGACACTGTTTGCAAGACTCATGAAATAGATTTATTTAATTACTACTTATCTCTGTGATTTTAACACCATATACTTTGTAATAAAATCGCTTATCATAAGATGCGTGTTTTTCGTTCTATACCACAATGATCCGGGGTTAAATGATAGTGAGAGGTGCTAAAGGTTATCTTTAGTAGACCATGATGCACTTTGGTTTACTGAATAACGATCATCGTTGATAACTAATTTTCAAAGAAATTATCAGTAGAAATTTGGAGAAACGTAACACAAATAGAATAAACTCAAACAGGTAAACTTCAGGTAAGGAGTAGAAATTCTCACATCGTAACTATAAAACTCAGAAGGGTTCTATTACCTAGAACGAGATTAACTCAGATAAATAATTCCTCAATATTTACATACATTGTTCAGATACACCTATGCATCATGACGCTGGAACAGTAAAGTAGGAATCTCTTCCTATTATGCTAAGTGCTACAACTTTGGAATTAGCCTCTCTTTCATACTTGAGAAGCGAACAAAGATCGACAGTCAAAAGGGATGGTGGACCCACCAACTCCTCAAAACTTTTATAACCCGACGAGAACTATAAGTGGTAGATTTTGAGAACTATTTATGGAACAATACGATGCATATATTTTTATTGTATAGTTGTTATGTAACTAAACTATGCATATTCAATTTCCTCCTATTATAAGCTTTGTCTTGACCCATAGACTATTATTATGCGATTTACTGTTCTTGAATTATGCTCAGTCTATTAATTACAATCTCCCACATTCACAGCCACTTTTGGCTAGATCTTGTACAAATATTGTTTTCTATTTTGTGGTGAGATGTGGTCTGTTTGGTTTGTATATAAACACAGTATGTTTGAAATACATGACTCATATTTTAGAGGCTGAGATTGGTGTTTTGGACTCAACAGGCATTGCTAGGCAGGGAGACGGTCTGATAAGGATTCTAGACCACTCGTATGGGTTTACGCGTCATTTGTCTGGTCGATAAGTCGCTGTCCTCTAATTGGTGGTATCATTACGTTATATATTGATAGGGCACAAGGCCACAAGTTATAACAAAAACACAACGTAAACCCGTTAGTTTACCAATGAAAACAGTTGAAAAGGAATAATGAAACAGCAGTAAGACTTGTTGATAGAGGTCCTCGTCGAGTTCTTGAGTCCTAAAGTGGTAGTAATAAAAGATATCAACCGAGAAAAGAAAATCTAAATTTTATTAGATCTAGTTGCCAAATGAACAGAAGGCAACTTTCCCATACGGCAAAAGAATGTGTATATCAACAGCATTCGGTCCAGTTTGTTTAATATTTAAATACCCCTATTTTCTCCAAAATAATTTACTCTTAATGAGTTAGTACATTTCAAGCTTCTTCAAAGGAAATGAAGCGTGGATCAGACTGACGAACATAATATGGGATTTCTTTTAATTCCAGTCACTGAGATTTTTACGAAAACAACTTCATTAGTGTCTTCCGTTAATTCCGTTCCTGACTAACGTGAAACAGTTCTTTCAAATTTAGAAATAATAATAATCTGTTCAAGTTCACCAACTCTTTTCTCCTAAAAACACATATCATGGGCAACTTACATCGCTACAATTTACCTCTTACAAACAAACCCGCAAGAATCCACACAAATAAGTAAGACATATGAGTCCGAAAGTTGATACGGCCACCTCTTTTACCTTGGACTTTTGCTAAATTTAAGCTTACACTAACGTTTTTCATTCTCATTCTCATATGTACAGGATATATCTCAATAACTAACCCAATCAATGATACTTAGAAAACATCTTCTTATTGCATTTAAGGGAAAAAAGTTGATCTACATACACATACATATTGTTTATTGACTTGCCACCATTTTGACTGGTATTCCGAATTCAGAAATAGTTTTTCATTCCCTATACTAATAGATTGTTCACTAATATTTCCATACTAAAATAATTCAGAATCTGCAAAACATGGACACTGATAACAGATGTTTCAGTTTGTCCTCTACGTAAGTGCAGATTTATCAGATTCTGAAGAGAGAATACTTTAAATTCATGTTTAACGTCGCTTGTTAACTTTCAATATATTTCCGGAAAGTAGATCATTTCTTAATCCGTACACTCTCCCATCGCACTCAAATCACACGTTGTATGCATGGTCCTCAATCAAGATGTTCAGCTCACTTTCTCTACTAGTTGTTCGTATAGTATGCGGTATAAACAAGAGGACAGAGAAATATATTGAAGATACATATCTGTCACTACATATTCATGTATGACTTGATCAATACACCCCTATCAATCAGATTCATTTCATTGGACTTCAACTGCTCAAGTGTGATTTTAATTGGTCGTTGATGGCCTTGAAAATAGTGGTCAGAAAATCATGTGACATGACGGTGAGACCGATACGATTGGATAAACAATAAAAGCATGAGAGAAGTTACGTTGTGTAAGCTGTAGGTCGTGCTAGCGTTTTGTCGGTATAATTTCTCCCTTCTGTTTTTGTTACCTTGGTTTATCAGCCATGAAATGTCCTTCATGCAATAAGGAGGTCTACTTTGGTAGGTTTAATAGTATGCAATTATATTAAATAGCTGAGCGGGTCAGTTCACTTGGAAAAGACTGGCATCGTCCGTGTTTGAAATGCGAAAAGTGCAAAAAAACGCTGACTGCGGGTTCCCACTGTGAAGTAAGTGTCTTTGTTTACCGTATTGTTTTCATGAATAAGTTGGCTTAAAATCATTATAATATTGTTCAAACGGGAGATACGTCTGAGAGTATCCATCACTTCATACTGCCTAATTTTGCATCCCATTAAATAATTATCTTTCTTGTCAACATGATTATTTCAATTTATCTTATTTTCACTTCGTATTTGATTCAGCTTCGCTTCGCGTCGATTCACCCTTGACCTAATATAACATTAGTATGACTACTTGTTTGTATTTGGTAAATATTTGGTCTAATTTATTTCCTGTGCTTTTATTTAAACTGACTTGCTAGTTATTTGTTCTCTGGAAAAAGTGACTTTCACTAAGTCGCAAGGTGTCATAAATCCGACTTTTTACTCATTGGGTTATTACGAATAAGGTATTATTGTGAGCGATCTATTGGAAGGTCAATTTATTTGAAATTCTCAAGTCAAATCGTTCTAGCAATACTTGAAAGATGACTGGTGGGTTTTTTTTTCTTCATTTACTTTATACTGATTCGAAGGAGTATTTACTGAGAGACAAAAAAAATAGAATGATAAAGAAGTACGGCACAACCGCGTAAGTCTTATTAATGCCTATGAGCAATCTGTGAAAGTGTGTTATCTTGAATATTATTCTCATTGATTAGGATCTCCTAGTGGGTTCTGTGGAATGTTCTCTGTCACGTTCTTTAGTAGTGTTAGTTTTGGTCATTACATTCACCGAAACGGTAGTGTGAACTGGTCTTTTTGAAATAGTAAACGGTGTATCAGTGTGATAGCTTTGGTTTCGTACTGCTAGTCTGAAGCCGATGAGATATCACTATCCACATAGCATTTTACAACATATCAATTAATTCTTTTCAACAGAAAAGTGTTAGTCAATGAACTTTCTCAGTGTTTTTTTTCAGTGAGACATAATGAGAATTAAAAGGTTAAGTATATTGTTCGGATGTTGTGGTTGTGTATAAGAAATGTAAGTTTTATTATGGAGTTGATGTAAACTAAGGACATAATACAGTGACTTTTTGCAACTGCTAGTCAATATGATATTTATTTATATTTCAGCATGATGGTAAACCCTATTGTCAGACTCCGTGTTACCAAGCCCTGTTTGGACCCAAAGGTGAGTGATCATCAAGTAATCGGTTCTGTTTGTTAATAAGTTGATTTGAAAGCTTGACAGGTGCTAGAATGTGTAGCATTCAATGTGGTCGCAAATGCGTTTAGTACGAACTTCCACTTGCAGTATGAGGTATAAGCTAGTGAACATTGTGTTGTTACGTCCTTCATCTGTCTGCCCAGAACATACAGGAGAAGAATTTTCTCGATCTAGGTTAAGGCTTTGACACGGTAGGCTAACTGGTTCAACCTTGAGGCTAGAATTGCGTGAGTCCGAATCGAGATATATGAATAAATATATGACTAACACGGTCACAACGTACAAACAATCAGAAAAATACAATTATATTCAAACTAAGCATTAGGGTAAAAAAGTAGAGTGCAAATCGTTACGTATAAATTACAATAGCTTTGGAATAGAAAAAGGTATGGCAGTGTATTATGCATCAAACGGAAGCTTACGCTTTATGAAATAATCCAGGAACTAAACGAAATGTTAGTATTTTACAGACTTAGAATTAAGTTTAATAATGTCCTCAAGATTAGCTCCCTTTGTTCGTCATAGCTTCTATATCTCTCTATTATCATTATTATTATTATTATTATTATTATCAGCTTTATTCAATATTATATTTTTGGTACAATATAGAATTCTCAGCGTAAAGTATTTCAACAAGTTTCCGTTTCTTTCTTCTTCGTCGGTCCTGGCGATAAATATTGAGTGATCGCCAGTTAGATGTTAGCAGTTCACTAAATGAACATCTGAATAATGTGCATTCCTTTCGTTGTATATTGCCAGCAACCACATTGTCTCTTATTGAGTTGTTTGTAACTTTGACAACGAAAGGTTGTACACTTTTCAGAAACGCAGCAGAATAGGTTGTGCGATTAATAAACATAATGATATATTAAAACAAACAAAAATAGATAACTTATTGAAATATCTAGATGGCAGGAACAGGTAGCCCAGATGATCAAGCAGGCCGCCGAAGTCAAATAATGTGTAGTCTGATTAAATTGTGTGTTATTGAGAAGTTAGTATTGTATGTGCTCATGAAAACGACTGTCGTCCTGAGTATATGTGAAGTAAATTAGGCACTTTAAGACGACAATAACAAGATTAACTACAGGCAGGTCCCCAGTATTGCAAGATAGTGGATAGGAGGGCTGTGTATATTGCCTTCAACTTGCAAAGGTATGTTTTTAAGTGGAGTGAAATATCGGTCCTGATTTTGTCTATTTTAGAAAAAAAATTGTGTAGGAGAAAGTCACTGTCAAAAATTAATATTCATATACTATACTGGCACATTTTGTTTTCAGGTTATGGATCAGTGGCCAGCAGTCACATCTACAAATAGATAACAAATTTGTTATTTCAAGTTTTGTTTGTACATTCTACGTGACTACTTTTGATGTCTCTTATCCAGACAATTTCAATAGATCGCTCCTTCAAGTACTGTTAAATTACTTGATTTTGATGTTTTAACTTATGAAATAAACTCGCTGCTTACAATTTGTTTTACTTTTCACTCTCAGTTGTAAGTCCGTAATTGACAGTGAGAAGTGGTTACTTCGGCCACATCGTTGTATTAAGGTATATTATTACTATTATTTGGATACAGACGATTGGCACAACGGGGAACCAAATACATATGCGCCACAAAGAGAGGAAACAGATTTGAAGACGGAAAGGACTGTATTCATTCTTCAGTTTCATTGTATAGTGAGACACTGGATTGCAGTACGATATAAACGTAAGATAATTCATTGCGAAAAAAAAGTGAATTTAAGAGATAATAATGATCTATTCAAGTTCACCAACTCTTTTCTCCTAAAAACACATATCATGGGCAACTTACATCGCTACAATTTACCTCTTACAAACAAACCCGCAAGAATCCACACAAATAAGTAAGACATATGAGTCCGAAAGTTGATACGGCCACCTCTTTTACCTTGGACTTTTGCTAAATTTAAGCTTACACTAACGTTTTTCATTCTCATTCTCATATGTACAGGATATATCTCAATAACTAACCCAATCAATGATACTTAGAAAACATCTTCTTATTGCATTTAAGGGAAAAAAGTTGATCTACATACACATACATATTGTTTATTGACTTGCCACCATTTTGACTGGTATTCCGAATTCAGAAATAGTTTTTCATTCCCTATACTAATAGATTGTTCACTAATATTTCCATACTAAAATAATTCAGAATCTGCAAAACATGGACACTGATAACAGATGTTTCAGTTTGTCCTCTACGTAAGTGCAGATTTATCAGATTCTGAAGAGAGAATACTTTAAATTCATGTTTAACGTCGCTTGTTAACTTTCAATATATTTCCGGAAAGTAGATCATTTCTTAATCCGTACACTCTCCCATCGCACTCAAATCACACGTTGTATGCATGGTCCTCAATCAAGATGTTCAGCTCACTTTCTCTACTAGTTGTTCGTATAGTATGCGGTATAAACAAGAGGACAGAGAAATATATTGAAGATACATATCTGTCACTACATATTCATGTATGACTTGATCAATACACCCCTATCAATCAGATTCATTTCATTGGACTTCAACTGCTCAAGTGTGATTTTAATTGGTCGTTGATGGCCTTGAAAATAGTGGTCAGAAAATCATGTGACATGACGGTGAGACCGATACGATTGGATAAACAATAAAGGCATGAGAAAAGTTATGTTGTATACGTTGTAGTCGTGCATGCGTTTTCTAGGAACTAACAAATTAGAATGAATTGCTCTGCGTATAGTTAAAACTTGTAATCTGTAGTTCCTATATCCATTCGCTGACGATTTGTTGGTAAGAAGCGACTGGGTATATTTCCAACTAATTTTTGACCTCTTAGTTTATATTGATGATCAGAAATAACAAGGAAACAGTCAGATTTAAATAAAATCACAAAGGCCGGACTTATGAACAGCTCGGTAACGATTTGTTCATCCGCTGATAACACCACGTTTTTGACATGAACACATTTCCTTACCAGTTTGATGATTTAATACAACGACATGGCCGAAGTAACCACTTCTCACTGTCAATTACGGACTTACAACTGAGAGTGAAAAGTAAAACAAATTGTAAGCAGCGAGTTTATTTCATAAGTTAAAACATCAAAATCAAGTAATTTAACAGTACTTGAAGGAGCGATCTATTGAAATTGTCTGGATAAGAGACATCAAAAGTAGTCACGTAGAATGTACAAACAAAACTTGAAATAACAAATTTGTTATCTATTTGTAGATGTGACTGCTGGCCACTGATCCATAACCTGAAAACAAAATGTGCCAGTATAGTATATGAATATTAATTTTTGACAGTGACTTTCTCCTACACAATTTTTTTTCTAAAATAGACAAAATCAGGACCGATATTTCACTCCACTTAAAAACATACCTTTGCAAGTTGAAGGCAATATACACAGCCCTCCTATCCACTATCTTGCAATACTGGGGACCTGCCTGTAGTTAATCTTGTTATTGTCGTCTTAAAGTGCCTAATTTACTTCACATATACTCAGGACGACAGTCGTTTTCATGAGCACATACAATACTAACTTCTCAATAACACACAATTTAATCAGACTACACATTATTTGACTTCGGCGGCCTGCTTGATCATCTGGGCTACCTGTTCCTGCCATCTAGATATTTCAACAAGTTATCTATTTTTGTTTGTTTTAATATATCATTATGTTTATTAATCGCACAACCTATTCTGCTGCGTTTCTGAAAAGTGTACAACCTTTCGTTGTCAAAGTTACAAACAACTCAATAAGAGACAATGTGGTTGCTGGCAATATACAACGAAAGGAATGCACATTATTCAGATGTTCATTTAGTGAACTGCTAACATCTAACTGGCGATCACTCAATATTTATCGCCAGGACCGACGAAGAAGAAAGAAACGGAAACTTGTTGAAATACTTTACGCTGAGAATTCTATATTGTACCAAAAATATAATATTGAATAAAGCTGATAATAATAATAATAATAATAATAATAATAATAATAATAATAATAATAATAATGATAATAGAGAGATATAGAAGCTATGACGAACAAAGGGAGCTAATCTTGAGGACATTATTAAACTTAATTCTAAGTCTGTAAAATACTAACATTTCGTTTAGTTCCTGGATTATTTCATAAAGCGTAAGCTTCCGTTTGATGCATAATACACTGCCATACCTTTTTCTATTCCAAAGCTATTGTAATTTATACGTAACGATTTGCACTCTACTTTTTTACCCTAATGCTTAGTTTGAATATAATTGTATTTTTCTGATTGTTTGTACGTTGTGACCGTGTTAGTCATATATTTATTCATATATCTCGATTCGGACTCACGCAATTCTAGCCTCAAGGTTGAACCAGTTAGCCTACCGTGTCAAAGCCTTAACCTAGATCGAGAAAATTCTTCTCCTGTATGTTCTGGGCAGACAGATGAAGGACGTAACAACACAATGTTCACTAGCTTATACCTCATACTGCAAGTGGAAGTTCGTACTAAACGCATTTGCGACCACATTGAATGCTACACATTCTAGCACCTGTCAAGCTTTCAAATCAACTTATTAACAAACAGAACCGATTACTTGATGATCACTCACCTTTGGGTCCAAACAGGGCTTGGTAACACGGAGTCTGACAATAGGGTTTACCATCATGCTGAAATATAAATAAATATCATATTGACTAGCAGTTGCAAAAAGTCACTGTATTATGTCCTTAGTTTACATCAACTCCATAATAAAACTTACATTTCTTATACACAACCACAACATCCGAACAATATACTTAACCTTTTAATTCTCATTATGTCTCACTGAAAAAAAACACTGAGAAAGTTCATTGACTAACACTTTTCTGTTGAAAAGAATTAATTGATATGTTGTAAAATGCTATGTGGATAGTGATATCTCATCGGCTTCAGACTAGCAGTACGAAACCAAAGCTATCACACTGATACACCGTTTACTATTTCAAAAAGACCAGTTCACACTACCGTTTCGGTGAATGTAATGACCAAAACTAACACTACTAAAGAACGTGACAGAGAACATTCCACAGAACCCACTAGGAGATCCTAATCAATGAGAATAATATTCAAGATAACACACTTTCACAGATTGCTCATAGGCATTAATAAGACTTACGCGGTTGTGCCGTACTTCTTTATCATTCTATTTTTTTTGTCTCTCAGTAAATACTCCTTCGAATCAGTATAAAGTAAATGAAGAAAAAAAAACCCACCAGTCATCTTTCAAGTATTGCTAGAACGATTTGACTTGAGAATTTCAAATAAATTGACCTTCCAATAGATCGCTCACAATAATACCTTATTCGTAATAACCCAATGAGTAAAAAGTCGGATTTATGACACCTTGCGACTTAGTGAAAGTCACTTTTTCCAGAGAACAAATAACTAGCAAGTCAGTTTAAATAAAAGCACAGGAAATAAATTAGACCAAATATTTACCAAATACAAACAAGTAGTCATACTAATGTTATATTAGGTCAAGGGTGAATCGACGCGAAGCGAAGCTGAATCAAATACGAAGTGAAAATAAGATAAATTGAAATAATCATGTTGACAAGAAAGATAATTATTTAATGGGATGCAAAATTAGGCAGTATGAAGTGATGGATACTCTCAGACGTATCTCCCGTTTGAACAATATTATAATGATTTTAAGCCAACTTATTCATGAAAACAATACGGTAAACAAAGACACTTACTTCACAGTGGGAACCCGCAGTCAGCGTTTTTTTGCACTTTTCGCATTTCAAACACGGACGATGCCAGTCTTTTCCAAGTGAACTGACCCGCTCAGCTATTTAATATAATTGCATACTATTAAACCTACCAAAGTAGACCTCCTTATTGCATGAAGGACATTTCATGGCTGATAAACCAAGGTAACAAAAACAGAAGGGAGAAATTATACCGACAAAACGCTAGCACGACCTACAGCTTACACAACGTAACTTCTCTCATGCTTTTATTGTTTATCCAATCGTATCGGTCTCACCGTCATGTCACATGATTTTCTGACCACTATTTTCAAGGCCATCAACGACCAATTAAAATCACACTTGAGCAGTTGAAGTCCAATGAAATGAATCTGATTGATAGGGGTGTATTGATCAAGTCATACATGAATATGTAGTGACAGATATGTATCTTCAATATATTTCTCTGTCCTCTTGTTTATACCGCATACTATACGAACAACTAGTAGAGAAAGTGAGCTGAACATCTTGATTGAGGACCATGCATACAACGTGTGATTTGAGTGCGATGGGAGAGTGTACGGATTAAGAA